TTTCTTTTTTTTTGGAGGCAGAGTCTCTTTTTGTTGCTGTCAGTAGAGTGCTATGGCATCATAGCTCACAGCAATCTCAAACTCTTGGGCTTGAGTAATCCTCTTGCCTCAGCCTCCCAAGTAGCTAGGGCTATAGGCACCCACCACAACGCCTGGCTAATTTATCTGCTTTTAGTAGAGATGGGGTTTCACTCTTGCTCAGGGTGGTTAAAGAGCAATTCTGACAATAACTGTTACTCACAAGCACTGGCCAGGCACCATAGCTGGGCTCCCTGAGCTCTCCCTCTGGAGCCTGATCATGGCTCTAGGAGACAGCTAGGGGGTGTCTTTATTGGTATATTATTAATATCACTGGAGGCACCAAAGGGCAGTATATGCTAACACATGCCCAGACTCTGGAGCTGGACTGTATGGGCTTTAATCCCAGCTCTCCTATTCAGCCTGTCAGTGACCACAGTCAAGTTATTTAAGCTCTCTGTGCCTGTGTTTCTTTACCTATAAAGTGGAGGAGAAAAATAAACTCTATAATAAGAAGGCTTGCTCCACAGTGGTTGGGATGAGGATTTAATGAGATGAACCTATGGTACCTGACACACAGCAGTTGCCCAGTGTAGTGAGCTATTGTCATAAGCCCCAAGTCACAGATGGATCAAGTGAAAGCCAAAGGCCCTTGCTTGAGCTCATGAGTCCAGTAAGTGGAGAATCAGGAGTCTGATTCCCAGCCCCATGAACTTCTAGGCAACCCTACCTCCCAAACACAAGAGTGTTGATGTATTTGACAGAAAAAACACATAAGGCAAAGCTGAGTTGTGTGAAATTCTTGAACCAGAGGAAGTCAGGGAAGATTTGTGGAGGATGTAAACTTAAAGTCCTAAGAATAAATAGGAGTTGGCAAAAAGAAGTAACAGGAAGGGCATTCTAGGTGGAGGAGATGGTACAAACAAAGCCTGAGGTAGGAAGGAAGACAGGGCATACAGGACACTTACATGAGCACATGAACTTCATATAAATGGGATCCTACAGCATGTCCTCTGGGCGCATTCCACAATGTCCCTTCATATCCTTTCTTCCATATGATCTTCCCAACAATCCAATGGGGCGAGCAAAGGAGTGAGTTGCATCTTGCAATGGTCTGAATGGTTGTATCACCTCAAAACTAATATTTCGAAACCTTATCACCAAGGTAATGGTGCTAGGGGTGATTTTAGGAGGTGATTAAATCATGAGGGTAGAGACATCATAAGTGAGTCTCTTATTAAAAAGAGACCCTAGACAGCTGCCTTGCCCTCCCACCAAGTGAGCACACAGCTAACAGGTGCCATCTATAAGCCAGAAAGCAGGTCCTCACCAGACATCAAATCTGCTGGTGCCTTATTTGTGGACTCCTCAGCCTCCAAAACCGTCAGAAATAAATTTCTGCTGTTTATAAGCCAAAAAATAATATAAATAAAAATTAAAGAAAGGATAGTAAAGATGAGGTATCTTTTACTCGTTGTCTGTGTCTAGGGACTGGTCCTTCTCTATCTGGTTATGTGCTAGTGGCTTTGTCCAAAAGTCTTTGGGCTAAGAAGTACGTTTTGCTTTGTATGATTCTGGACCAGTCTATAAGTTTCTCTGCTACTTTGTTGCTCAGGAGCAAGAAAAGGCTGTTCAAAATTCTTTATGTACTTTAAATGAAAGAAAAGATACTAAAACTTTTAAATCAAAAATGTTTTATGGTAGGCTGGGCACAATGGCTTGTACCTGTAATCCTAGCTCTCTGGGAGGCTGAGGTAAGTGGATTGCTTGAACTTAGGAGTTGGAGACCAACCTGAGTAAGAGCAAGACCTGAAAAAATAAAAACTAGCTAGAGGGAGTAGCTGGGGCATATAGCCCCATCTGGGAGGTTGAGGCAAGAGTATTGCCCAGACCGAGAGACTGAGGTTGCTGTGAGCTATGATGACACCCAGCATTCTACCCAGGGCCATGGAGTAAGACACTGACTCAGGAAAAAAAAAATGTTTTATGGTAATGGAGTATATAAATTATAGACATCATGAGGAAAAATAAGGAAATGAGGAAGTGTCAATTCAAAAAACAAAAAGAACAAAAGCAAGAAATTAAAAGCATAAAATGAGATGACCAAATTAAATCTAAATAAATAAATATTTTCAATATAGTTTTTTAAAATATCAAAATTAATGCAATGTACTATTCAGATTAAATCCTGGACCTGATAAAGGAAAATAGTGAAAACATGTGGAATTTGACAAAGATCTGTAGGTTACTTAATAACATTTATCAATGTTTTATTAAGAGTTTTAATAATTCTACTGTGGTTGCCTTAGGCTTAGAAGTTAACCTTATGGGAAACTGTGTGAAGAGTATACGAGAACACACTGCACAATTTTTACACATATCTGGATACCTAATTTTATTTCAAAATGAGAAGTTTGGCTCAGAGCCTGTAGCTCAGTGGCTAGGGGGCCGGTCATATACGCCTGGGCTGGTGGGTTGGAACCCAGCCCGGGCCTGCCAAAACAACAATGACAACTACAACAAAAAATAGCCAGATGTTGTGGTGGGAACCTGTAGTCCTAGCTACTTGGGAGGCTGAGGCAAGAGAATCACATAAGCCCAAGAGTTTGAGGTTGCTGTGAGCTGTGACATCACAGCACTCTACCAAGGGTGACATAGTAAGATTCTGTCTTAAAAAAAAGAAAAAACATAACCGGGGGTTGTGGCAGGTGCCTGTACTCCCAGCTACTAGGGAGGCTGAGGCAAAAGAATCACTTAAGTCCAAGAGTTGGAAGTTGCTGTGAGCTGTGACACCATAGCACTCTACCGAGGGCAACATAGTGAGACTGTGTCTTAAAAAAATGAAAAATTAAAAATAGAAAAAAAAAATAAAGTAAAAATAGAAAAACGAGGCAAGTGGATCGCTTAAGCCCAAGAGTTGGAGATTGCTGTGAGCTATAATGCCAAGGCACTCTACCCCAGGGCAACAGCGTGACACTCCGTCTCAAAAAGAAAAAAAGAAGTTTATTTAAAATGCAGATTTTTTTAAGAGTTCTTGTTACATGATATTTTGGGAAAGAATTTTATTTATTTATTTATTTATTTTTGAGACAGAGTCTCACTCTGTTGCCCTGGGTAGAGTGCTGTGGAGTCATAGCTCACAGCAACCCCAGACTCTTGGCGCTTAAGTGATCCTCTTGCCCCAGCTTCCCATGTAGCTGGGACTATAGATGCCCACCACAACGCCAGAGTAGTTTTTCTATTTTTAGTAGAGATTGGATCTCACTCTTGCTCAGGCTGGTCTCAAACACCTGACCTAAAGCAGTCCACCTCCCTTGGCCTCCCAGAGTGCTAGGATTGCAAGTGTGAACCACCATACCCAGTTGGAAAAGATATTTTAAATGTTTGAGAAATCAATGAATTTAAGGCAGAGTTGAGGAGCCTGCAACCCTAAGGCCACATGTAACTTTCTAGGTTCTAAAATGCAGAATTTGAGCTGAATACAAATTTTACAGAATGAATCCTTCTATTTTTATTAATACATTTTGTCCTGAGACTGTCTCAAAAAAATAAAAATAAAAAAATACATTTTGTCCTTTTTAAATATTTTTATTTATAAAATGAACATAATTAAAACGCCAAAGAATAAAATAAGTTTCAACAAAATAATCCTTCCAGACCGGCTAGCAAAATTCAAACATTGGTAAGTAATAAGGGCTAAATTGACAGCTGCTACAGTCATGATTTAGTTCTATTTCCCCACCTGACTGGCACCACTACTGCATGAAGCTGGTTGGTGAGAGTTTATGGGTGTCAAGTATGCTAGTCCATTATCAGCGTTTGACAATGATGTACTGTGTTTCAGCTTGAAGTGGAAGTTGTGAATAGTTGCACAGCTCTACAGTATTTTTTTTTATTATAATTCTATCAACTTAATGGTTCATCATGTCAAAGAAGACCAAGAGAATGCTGAAGGAGGAAATGAGGATTGGGAATTACAATATTATCTTTTTTTTTTCTGCTTGCTTTGTGATACTGCACTATAAACATTAAAGAAATTCTATGTTCATCAGTATTATAATACTTGTAAGAGTCACAAATATTTTAAATTAGAGGGAGAGGTGCAAAAGATTGTATTGCAGAAATTTAAAAAAGAAAAGCAAAGACAATTCTTTTAAGCAGCAATAAGACCTGAAGTAATGCCATTGAAATTGTTTATAAAAGTATGGCACCTGTGGCTCAGTGGGTAGGGCGCCAGCCCCATATACCGAGGGTAGCAGGTTCGAACCCTGCCCCAGCCAAACTGCAACAAAAAAAATAGTCAGGCATTGTGGCAGGCACCTGTAGTCCCAGCTACTTGGGAGGCTGAGGTAAGAGAATCACCTAAGCCCAAGAGCTGGAGGTTGCTATGAGCTGTGACACCACAGCACTCTACCGAGGGCACCAAAGTGAGACTCTGTCTCTAAAACAAAAACAAAAACAAAAGGAAAGAAATTATTTATAAAGTAGTTTATATACTCAGGTGGAAAGAAAAGCCATTCAGTAATGTTGAAATTGTGAAGGAATGCATGGTTGAAGTTGTAGGATGCTTAGACCCTGATAATGTATGAAAGTATAAACAACTGCCTCTTTCAAGGAGAACCATAACTGATTGGCAGCATGAATTAGCCTTCAATTTAACAGAAAAATGTTATTCAGTATTTCAAAAGGAAAATATATCAATTGCTTTGGGTGAATCACCTAATACTACTGACTTAGCACAAGTTTTATACTTCATTTGGGTCATAACAAGATTTTCTCTGCTACGAAGAGTCACTTACTTTGGGCACTCTTGCAGACAGAATACAGAGAATAGATATCTTCAACAACTGTCATGTCAGTCAAGTTAAATGTCATGAAGTCAGACTGAATTTGATAAATTGAGTATATGTATAGACAGTGCACATTCTGTGACAGGAAAACCTCTTTTTATCACACATATTAAGAGTATTAACAGCCTTTCTGGGCTTGGGGGACTTCTGGAGTCCGCGAAATCGGCCAAGTCAGCTACGTTCCTGCTGCGGCCGCCGCGTTCCCAGGCCTTGGGCGATGGAGAACGGAGCGGTGTACAGCCCCACCACGGAGGAGGACCCGGGCCCCGTCAGAGGCCCCCGGAGCGGCCTCGCTGCCTGCTTCTTCCCGGGGCGGCTCGTTTGGTACCGGCATGTTCTCAAAGGCTTGCAGCTGGTGCTGTCTCTCTTGGCCTTTGTCTGTGAAGAAGTTGTATCACAGTGTACTTTGTGTGGAGGACTTTACTTTTTCGAATTTGTAAGCTGCAGTGCCTTTCTTTTGAGTCTCCTCATGTTGATTGTGTATTTCACTCCACTTTATGAGAAAATCGATGCCACCAAAATAAAATCATCGGATTTTTATATTACTCCGGGAATAGGATGTGTATTTTTGCTGGCATCCATCATCTTTGTGTCCACGCATGACAAGACTGCAGCTGAATTTGCTGCAATCGTGTTTGGGTTTATAGCAAGTTTTATGTTCTTGATTGACTTTCTTGTTATGCTCCGTGAAAAACGACAGGAGTCCTCGCTGAGAAAACCTGAAAATACCACTGCGCCATCAGCCCTCACTGAACCACTTAATGCTTAAA